CATATGACCTCCCTGGGGGATCACATCTGTTCCCACTGTTCTGGTTATCATCTACAGGCTTATGACTTCTAAATATGCACCTCCATATTCATGTCTTGAGTTGCTTATCAATATACCCTATTGCCTACTTGACATCTCTGCTTAGATATCTCCCAGGCACTTCTAGCTAAATGATTCCAAAGCTAAGCTCATCATATCCCCTATCCAACCAAATCTGCCAAAATTGTCTCTCGTCCCATGGCCCCTATCTTCAGTAAATGGCACCACCATCCCTTCCATTACCTATTCCAGAAAACTTGGGAGTCATGCAGGACACCCCCCCACCCCCACTTTATTTTACCCACCACAGCCTGTCAATCACAGACAAGTTTATTCAACCTCTGTTAACCCTCAAATCCATCCACTTGTTTTCATCACTACCGTTACCCTTCTAATCCATCATTGGCTTAAGGTATTGCAAAAAATCTCTAAACAACTGTCTTCCTCTCCAAGATATTCTCTATTCAGAAACAAGACTAATCTTTATAAAATGCCAATCATGTCCTGGCTCTTGGTTAATCCCTTCAATTTCTTTACATTGCCCTCAGAATCAAGTCCAACTCTTTATCTCGGTTTACAAGGCTCACATCATTTTCACTCACACCTACCTCTCCAGACTTTCTCCTTAGAATTTCATACTCCAATCACATTGTCCTTTCTTTGTTCATCAAAGGTGTAATGATCTGTTTCAACTCTTGGCCGTCAAACACATTCTATCACTTCACACATACCTCCACCCACTATGATGTAACTTTTATTGATCTTGTAGCTCTCAGCACAAATAACATTCCTAAGGAAGGTCTCTTATCCTTGAAGCAGTCTAAGTCTTAAATGCTATATAGCATGCTGAATAGTTTCCATGCATGCTGAATTATCCCATTTTAACAGTTATCACATTTATCAAAAGTTACATATTTAATGTCTAGCCCTGTAGACTATGAGCTCTATGAGAACAGTAATCATATTTCTCTTGTTTTACTCCAATACCTTACATAATTCCTGGTCCATTGTAACTGCTTAGCATTTATTGACAAGCTTAAGGAAGGAAGAAAAGAATAAAGGAAGGAAGGGAGGGAAGGAAGGAGAAAGGGAAGGAAAGAAGGAATAACACTCATTCAGTCAGTCTTGGGTGAGACAGAGGAAAATAAATTTATTGAATTAATAAGATCCTTGAGACTTTAAAAAGTATTTACACATCCATTTCACATTTATTTATCATAACAACTCTGTAAGAAAGTATTATTATGCACTTTTTACACTGAGGAAACTGAGGCTCGTAAAAGAGGTATCATGGCTCATCAAGTTATATCTTGCATTTGGAATCCCATTTCCTTAATTTTGTTCTTGTCCAATTTCCTCAAGATCTAGCTGAAATACCACCTGCCCCAGAAGCTTCTCCCTTTCTCCCCAAGTCCTAATAGTATTATTTTCTTCATCTCTAATCCACAGCACATTTTATATACCTCCCTAGTGGTCTTTAGTACAATGCTCCTTACATTGTGCCTATTTATGTTTCTGTTTCATTTAAACCCCTAAAAAATAAAATTTTAAAGATATAATTCAGGTCATATTCATATTTATCACCCCAGTACCTAGCACAAAGTTAGATGCTCCATAACAATGTGTTACATGAAAGCTACATCTTAGATATAGTCCAATCTCCTCAATCTACTACAATGGACAAATCAATCAGAGAAGTTATTTCAGATCTACCAAAGGCCACACAGCTGCATGCTACACGCTGCTTCTTTGTGCCCCCTTCTCTACCCTTTCCATGCATGGAATATGGGAGGAACAGTAAAGGTAGAGTCCTGAGGTCTCTAGCTAATGCCACCACTTACTAGCCGTGTAAATATCCTAGGTTTAGTTTCTACATAGGTGAGGATACAAATATCGGCTGTTTTGTAATGCTGGTTTCCAACAGTGTCTAGCACATAGAAATTTCAGCCTTTGACAATATTAAAAAATATTAATCAGTTATGGTTGAAAAAACTTCATGCTACAGAGTCCCAACAACCAACAATCCCTATAAGTCTGATATGTAAACAGAATTAGAATGAACTAAAATAGGCAGAAAACTTCTGAATCTTTCAGTTTCTCCACTTTGCTGCTAGGTATGCTGATTTTATCTCCTCAAGGCAGAACAGACTTGAGTGATCATATATTTATTTGCATAATGGCTTTTTAGTTACTTCTTTTGCTTATTTGCTTTCTACAACTAATTGATTACCAGACCCATGCTAAGTTCTGAAGGCATCTTTGCTTGGAATCAGTTACAGCCCTCTATGACAGGTGAAGACGAATGTTTATTTCACCTTGAAAATGTGAAGAAAGTTTATTTTCCCAATTTGGTATATATTTCATCCAGGAAATTTAGGGCTTTTAATGTTTGTCATGAGGTAAGAATATTTCCAATGCCTATTTGTAATATTAAAATAGGTAAAGCCCCTAGACAAGAAAAGTATCCACTACTTCTCCTTTTATTATGGTGGTTGCCCTGGTATTGGGGAAACTAGAATTAGGAAGACACTAGAGAAGACAAGAGAGCTGTATGGCAATTGTCAGCCTCGAGTCAGGACACTGTTTAGAATCCTAAATTGCGGAACTCCATAGGACCAGTAAAATCTAATAATCTGAGAGCTAAACAGTCACATCACTTCTTATGTTACCCTGGGTACATTTAGGATGATGATTACTGGAAGATAGGTTCTCATACTGGGAATCAACAAAGGAATGGAAGAAAGTCCTAGGCAGAAAGCACCAAAGGTACAGAAAGGATCTTCAGAAAAAAAACAGTAGAAAGAAGGGTAACAATTATGGCCTGCAGAGATCAGTTAATAAAATTCTAAAATGAAAGTTCTCTTTGGGAACAGATCGTTTCTGTCACATTAATCCTGTATATGCCCAATATCTATAGTGCATAGCACATTAAGGTGCTCAGTAAAGTCCTATCAAGTAAATAAATATCCAAATGTCTTGTTTGAGGAAAAGGGAGTGTGAAGGAAGGTAAAAAGCTTTCCATCCAAAGTCAGGGGATGGTAAAGCAAAAGACAGGGGAGATTAGACATATCAACAACTTGATTTACTCTGGTACCTTGTGCCTTATTGGCTTCAACTACACCAGACTTGGTTCTGAAACTTTAAACTCTTTTTAGACAATTAGAGAAGTCCAGTGACTGGATAACAGAGGCTGCTGAGAGCTTGCCAACATTGGATAAGAACGCTAACTTATTTCTAAGGCATTATAATATAAATACAGGGACTCATTAATATTTCAAAAGCTTGTCAAGAGCCCTGACAGAGGGGACCCAAATGGTAGTCCATGAGAAACAAAACAAAACAAAATGAAATAATTAAGGCAAAAGGATTTTCAAAAGCACACGAAAAGAGAAGGCTCCAGAACTGAACACTTGAGGAAACCAAATGGTGATTATTGTTGTTATGTAAGATCCCAACACAGAGCCTGGTGAAAGAAGTACAATGTTATTTTAAGGCCCTTGTGAGCAGATCAACAGTGATATCCTTCGTTGACAAGGTTTGAAGCACCTATCTACACATATGCCTATTAACAGAAATAAGTGCTCTGTTATTATCCACTCAGGCCGAATTCAGAGACTCAAAGCAAAGGCCTACCCCTTGTTCAGATCCCAATGTCAAAAGGAAACTGAGGAACAGCAGTAGAGTTAACTTGATTTAGTAAAGTAAAAAACAGGCCCAGGAAGATATTTTTATCTTTTAATAAAGAGTTTTCATTATCATCATCAAATGCCTATACTTTTACAAACCTGAGTTTCTCAGCCCAGCATTTATAGAAAATTGCCAAGTATCTTTTCTACATAAAAGCACAATTCAATATTTATGAATTGCTAGCTTTCTATAAATATAGGTACTTGGAAATGATCTTCTCACTAGTCATTAATATTTGAACAGGTATCAAAGCTAGAATAATATTAACAATTCCTGGAATTTGTATAGTATTCTACATTATACTATCAATAATAGATGACATTTATTGAGCACTAAGCAAGTGCCAGGCACTTTACATGTAAATTCTCATCATGAATTCAGTTCAATTCAAAAGCATTCACTTAACATCTCCTGTGTGACAGATGAATAACACTTGGTTTCTGTCTTTAAAGACTCTCATTTTGGTGCAATCAATGTTGAATGAATACATGAATGAATGGATGAAGAAATTAATTGGTTTGAATGTCAGTGTGGGATAATAACAATAACACAGGCTCCTCCTCTTACTATCTATGGTCATGAGAAAGTCCTTAACCTATCCTAGCCTCAATTTCGTCATCTGTAATATAGGGATATTTAAAATGTCCCTTGCAAAAATTTTGTGAGACTAGTAACAGCGAATATTAAACATCTGCCAAAGAGTGGGCTCTCTCAGTAAGTGACAGTAGTTATTATTAACATCACTATCATCATCATCATCATTACTATTATTAAGTAATCCTATACAACTGTCTTCATCCACACTATAGCAATGGGACAAATAGAACTTTAACATACAAAAAACCCACACAACATCTATACAAAACACCACAACAAACAAGCAAACCAAGGGATATCTTCTAAACTGTAGTTCCTGATGTCCTCCTAGGTTACTGTACAATATGTATGCCCAGGTTAGAAAAGAAAGGAACGGGATCAACTTAATTATGCTTCCAAATATATCATGATAAAAGGCAAACAGGACAGGGAGTTTATCAAATAACAGACTGTACCTTCCTGCATAATAGAATGCTAGTGACTCCAAACATAAGACCATGTTTTCTATTCCAACATTCTCAAAGAGCAGTAGCTAGAGCCCAGATAATGGCCATCCAGAAACTCATCTAACTCTTCTTAGTGCCAGTGAGACTAAGCCCTAGCCATACAGCAGATAAACTTGAGCCCTGAGTCAAATTCCCCAGTCAGAAGGAGGTCCCATTCTGTGGGTCACTTACCATTTTGGTCTGCTGGTAGATTTCACCATAGGGGCCATCCCATCTCTATAAAGACTTTTAGTTTTGCTGAAGTTAACAATGTTGAAAATGACTCTCTGAAAAAGAAAGAGGGAAAAGTTTATCAGAAGACTATGCTATTCAAGTTGCAACTTCCTGATAATTAGGACTGGAAGTAATAAGCAGGGTTCTAGGAAACCATATGGACTAACTACCAGCATAGTGAGGATAAATGGCGTTCACAGAAATTCAATATGTTTCTGCTAGCTTCTCTGCTAGCTTAACATAGTAGTTAAGAACACAGACTCTAGAACCTGGAAGCCTGAGTTTTAATCCCACTCTACCACTCTCAATGCGTGACTTTGCCAAGCTACTAAATCTTTCTATGCCTCAGTTTCCTTATCTGAAAAATTGGGATAGTAATGGTACCTAGAATTACTGATGAGAATTAAATAATTTAATAAAAGTACAGTGTTTGGAACCATGCTTGGTGCATAGCGAAAGCTATATAAGTTTTAGTTATCATTATTAATTGTGCCCTCTCTCTAGGCTCACCTAGAATTTCCATGGAAATGAATAATATTATCATTATAGTAACAGTAGTGCGTTTGAAGTTCAACAAAACTAAAGATAACAACTTAGTGCAAAATTGAAACTAAAAAATTTGTAACTGCTCAGCACCCCTTTGATTAGAACTAAAGGATATATGTCTGCTTCCCCTTTGTTATCTTCTGCTAGGTGCCAGGAGTACTGAGCTCAACCCTAATCTCAGTATCAGTTTATAGTAGCACAGACACTTGGGTGAGCTCCTTACCTCTCTGGTTCTCACCTTTAAAATGGGGGAGTGGAATGTTTTAGATGACTAAAACCCTTCCAGAAGGGTAGTATATTAAAAAGAGATCAGGTCTTTGTTTTAATAAACAGCTTTGTCACAAGTGGGGAGGAGAGATTGGGAAAGGAAAGAGAACTGGGGTTAAAAGACATTAAATGACCACTGAAACAGTCCAAAGGAGAGAGGATGATGTTCAGGGCAAGGGCAGCCTGAATAGTCAGAGAAAATGAAAAGCTTGCAAGAGGTTAACCATAGGCTGGCTTTTCTATCCAGAGGCAGTGGAAGACAGAAGCATCAAAATTCATGTATTATTTCATTGAACAAATGTTTATTGTGTGAGGTATTAATGTCAAGTGCCAGAAATTTTATACACTTAAAATATTTTAAATATTCTCTTATAATTATAATAAAAATATTAACATTTCCATTTTACAGATGTGGAAACTGAGGTTCAGAGATATTAACTAACTTGTCTTGAGCCATGCAATTAAAAGATGGAGAACTGATATTTGAACCCAAGGGATAAAAAAGTTAAGATATCCAAGATCTCTACCCTTGAGTTACTCACTAAAGTTCAAATGCCATAACTCTAACCAAGTCTATTTTCCAAAATAAGGGCAAAAATAAATATAAATATAGTGGCAATTTTTCAAGTCTTTAAAATTTCATTTTCCTTTAAAAACAGAAAATCAAAACCATTTCCTCTGGCCTCATATTTGGGACTACCATAAAATGCTTTGTTCTATGAAATAACTTCTTAGGAATAACTCATGTTTTCCTTTCTCCTCAGAGACCTAGCCATTGACCCCATCTCCAGGCATTTCAGTTTCAGAACTCCTTTCAGTCATTAAATTAAGTCATCAAGAATGTCCAAGACTATTCCATTATTAATAACCTGGACCTGCCTGTTGTCAGTTCAATTACTTCTGCCAGGGTCTTGGCTACTGTCTGTTTTAAGAAAATCAATATCAAGGGGACAAATGGCCTTTGAACCTCACAGGGCCTAATCCCCCTTTTTTCTTCTGAGATTCCAGGTGTCAGATCCATCTCCAGTGAACCCAGAAGCCATGGTGCACTTTCAGGATCTAGACTAATGCTAAATGCAGGGGGAAACCTAATACAGAAATAATGTGTATATGTGAAGTTGGAATAAAGAAATTAAAAAGTGGAATATTTATTGATCATTCATATCCTAATACATGCCAGAAATTTTCTCAGGTGTTTAAAATATGCTATATTATTTAGCTTCTCTATCCATAAACAAAAGTTGTTTATTTTAGCCCAATTTTAGACATGAGGAAATTGAATCTAATAAAGGCTAACTGGTTTACCCCCACCTCCAGATCCCAGAACTATTAACTGGTAGAGCTAGGATTTAAATCTTAAGTGTCTGGACAATAAGTATGCCTTTTTTTTTTTCCCTTTGGTTGCACGTCTTGCAGGATCTTAGTTCTTAGTTTCCCCACCAGGGATCGAACCCAGACCCTGGCAGTGAAAGTGCAGAATCCTAACCACTGGACTGCCAGAGAATTCCTGAACAGTCTTTTATTATTCTCCACCTGTGCATTTTTAAAAATGTTTTCTAGCTTACTTAGTAAGGCAGCATGTGGTTGTGAGAATCAAAGGTATTTGGAAGTAAGCAGTGCAGGAAATCTTGGCTTTCCATATTTTCTAGCTATTTGTCAGTTATATACTCAAAATACATCAGATGAAACTGTATCCATGAGGTAATGGTAACAGCAACAACTATAAAAATAACAACTTCTGAGACTTTCTATGCACCAAATTCTAAGTTAAGCACTCATAGTTTCAGTGTTTTGTGTATTAGAATCACCTGGATAGCTTTTAAGTACTAGAGATGCCTGGACCTCACTCCAAGCTGATATCTGACGCATTATTTCACTTGTTTTGAGGATAATGAACTTTTTGAGACAGGGACTATTCATTACCTCTTATTTATGGATGAGACAAGTGGTATTGAGATTAAGTAAATTAAAATTACATAATAGTTAGTAGTAGAGCTAGAATTTGAACCAAGTCCACTGACTCAAGAGAATAAGATCATGGACTTTCCAGATAGATATATCTCAGACTGAAAGCCAGTTCCCCATTGGTTCTGTGAGCTTAGGCAAGATGATTATTCATTTTGATATTGATTTAAAAATCAATCTGGAATTCAGATGATAATACCATCCTAACAAAGTTTTTATAAAAATCTATGAGATTACATAAGTAATCACCTGTCACGTTGCATCTAGATAAGAATAGGTATTCACTATTTATTGAGATTTTCCCCCTTATCTTCAATGAAACTGGATCTTTTAGTTCTTTACAGCTTCCTTCCTTCCTTCCTTCCTTCCTTTCTGCCTGCCTGCCTGCCTTACTGCCTTCCTTCCATTATTTATTTTTCTCTCTTCTCTCTATTTAAAATTTTAATCCAGGCTTCTTGTTTCAGTAATATGATGCTCTATATTGAAACTTTGCAAATGGTGACCTGTAGCACAAGCTCTCAAGGTAGCCATGTGTGAGGCCTGGGGCTCTGCCCATCCTTAGTAAGGGGGTTGTGGTGCTATGGAGGAGTTCAAGAGCTCCATTCCAGGTGTAGGCCAAGGAGTGGTCCAGTGTTGCTGAGGGTGTAATGAGAAGCCTGCATGCAGTCCCAGACAGTGGCCTTGATTCTCTGTCTTCCCATATATCCAATACTTTTGTCCAGTCAGGAGTAAAATTTCTACTTAATGGTGTCCAAGCTAGTCCCAAGGACTATTCTAAATAGGCATGAACATTCTGCAAATTAGAGGGTCATCATTATTCTAAAATGTTTCATTATCTTAAATCATTGTAGTATTGAAAGTTTGGTTAGATTTTAACATCACTTGTTTTTCTTTTTTTTTTTAAACATCATTATTGGGGTATAATTGCTTTACAATGGTGTGTTAGTTTCTGCTTTATAACAAAGTGAATTAGTTATACATATACAGATGTTCCCATATCTCTTCCATCTTGCGTCTCCCTCCCTCCCACCCTCCCTATCCCACCCCTCCAGGCGGTCACAAAGCACCGAGCTGATATCCCTATGCTATGCGGCTGCTTCCCACTAGCTATCTACCTTACGTTTGGTAGTGTATATATGTCCATGCCTCTCTCTCGCTTTGTCATAGCTCACCCTTCCCCCTCCCCATATCCTCAAGTCCATTCTCCAGTAGGTCTGTGTCTTTATTCCTGTCTTACCATCACTTGTTTTTCACAAGAAATTTCAAGAGTTCAATTATGAATGAAAAAAGGAGAACTGTTACTTTAATATAATTTCATATGGTTTAAATATTTGAACAGTTTAAAAATTTTATCATTTTATTGTGTGAACAGTTTCTCATTAATGGCTGACTATTAAGACTTTGAATAGATCATCATTGAAAAGTCTTGATCAGGAATTGCATATATCCATTTCAGAAGTCAAAACCTCATATAAAAATGGAATGTGCATGGACAAAAACTCAAGTGTTTCAATTAAAAATTTGAAGATTAAACAAATTTTAGCATTTGATATCCTCTGTATATATTTTTTGTTTCATTCAAAAATTATGTATTAATTTTTTTCACCAAGCTTCACATAGTCATCCTCCAAACATTCCCCAGGTACTCCAAAATTCTGCACAGATATCATCTTGCCTAAGTGTACACATATTATTTTCTCTATGTGCCTGGGTGTGAAAAATGTTAGAGAACACTGCTCTGGATAACCTTTCACAAACTCCTAGAAATTACAGAATATTTAAGAATATTATTTACATGAAGAACTCCTAATAAATAAAAAGAAATCCATAGATGCCAAAAAAATACAGGTGCAGAAGGCAGGTCACTGGTCTTAGTATCTAAGAAATTAGATTTCTAACATCTATGCAAGGATAGCAAACAAGGCCTTGAATCTGCATGAGGCAGGATATCTGACATGAGATGCCTTCACAAATTTAGGATCCTCAAAATGATATAATATTAGTGGAACTGTGGTATAGAAAGAAATCATTCACTAGCAATGGGGGATAACAAAGATGCATGCCTATCTATTCATAGATTTGAGAAAGAAAAAGTAATTTTCAAACATGGGCCAGAACATTTTGAGGTTTGGGTTGGAATTTACATTACCAGCTTGGTCTTAAGAACCCAGGTAAAGCATTTACAATAAATTTAGTTACAGGAAGATAACCCTGGGACACCTGGTCAAAAGAAGAAAAAAAAATCACTTTGAATGCACACATTTTCAGTCCAGGC